GAAAGATCAACTTTTCTACCAACTTGACCACCCCTTAGTTTCTTGTCACATTATTGTGCACACAATTAATATTCTAACATCTATTTTATACCTAATTTTTCACAATCCGAAGAGATTTTGTACGTAGTTTCAAAATTCTCGGGGGGGGGGGGGGGGGCAGCTAGCTCCGCCCCTGGTGCTTTATTTAAATTACGAATAAACTATGAGTTTATTTAAATACTTTTATGATCCCTGAAGGGGTTCTTATGGACATTCAGAAGATGATCTCTAATTTCTGGTGGGGTCAGAAAGGGAAAGAACCAAAACATCATTGGCTGAAGTGGTAAACTCTTTGTGAAGAGAAGGATGTGGGTGGTATGGGTTTCAAAAATCTCTGAGATTTTAACTTGGCAATGCTTGGCAAGCAAGTCTAGAATGTGATCTCTAGACCAAACTCTCTGATGGCCAGACTTCTCAAAGCCAGGTAATTTCCAGGATGCTAAAATGGGCTATAACCCCGGCTTTATCTGGAGAAGCATTATGACTGCTAAAGAAAAGATCAAGGATCGATTTCGGTGGTGTGTTGGAGATAGTGAATCTATTCGAATTTGGGAGGATCCTTGGATTCCTGGGAAGAGCTATTTCTTTGCGGATCCTCAGCCTAACACTATGGATCTAAACGAGTTGGTTTCAAATCTCATCGATAAGGAGAGGGGTATCTGGGATCAGAACAGGCTAGAAGAAAAATTCTCGAGCCTGAATTGTGGTCTTATTTCTAAAATTCCTCTTAGGAGGCCTCTGAGGAGTGATTCAAGGGTTTGGATTGATTCGGATAATGGGAAGTACTCGGTGAAGACAACTTACAACTGAATTTTCGAGAATCGCAACCACAACACGACTACTCGCAATTCAATCTCAGACGAGGAGACAAAGTTATGTAAAAATCTATCGAAGACCCCATATCCCTCCTATGGTTCGAATGTTCATATGGAGAATGGGAAGGAATATCTAACCTGTGGGATGTAATATCGAGAAGTGGATTGAGGAGGCCTAGCTGGACTGCCCTTTCTGCGGTTTGCCTGAAGATCAAATGCATGCCCTGAGAGAATGTTGCTGGGTTCGCCGCCAATGGGGCACCTGGGAAGGAAAAGGGTTATTCGACATTGGAGAATGGAAATCGTGCATGGAATGGTTGAAGGAAGTCTGGAATTACTCAAATTTGGAGCAGATTCAAAAATTTTGTGTGATCCTTTGGTATCTACGGAAGGAAAGATGTAATCACCTAATTAACAACCACAAGATCGACGAAGATCAGATTATTCCTAAGGCGCTGGGCTGGTTGCATGCCTATTTGGAAGCTCAAGAACCCCACACCTCGAGCACTGTGGCTCATCACCAGCCAAGCAGCTCTGGTGTTCATACTGATTGGGCCCACCCCCTTAGGGAGTCTTCAAGCTCAATTCCAATGCGAGAATTCTAAATCAAACGGGTGTTGGGTTTGGATGTGTAATCAGGGACTGGGGAGGTTTTTTTGTGGTGCTACGGCGAAGAAAGAAAGAGGATTGTGCAGACCTATTGAAGCAGAAGCAAAAGCTATTGTGATGGGGCTTTGCGAAGCGAATAGAAAGGGATTCAGTCCCTTGATGGTGGAATCAGATTGTCAAGTGTTGATCGGGAAGCTGGAGAGAGAGGAAATGGATTTTTCTGAACTTGGTGTCTGGTGCGAAGAGATCAAGAAGCTGGCAAAATGCAATGAGGAGATTTCTGGTGTTGCTGTGAAATGGTGTTTTACACCAAGAAGGAACAATGCTACGGCCCATTGGTTGGCCCATGCTCTTTCGGGCTGGGATAGACAAGTAGTTTGGGTGGATAATCCCCCTTTGAACTTCCTTTGTCTTTTGGAGGCTGATTTGGGCAGGCTGGATTGTAGCAGGTCTAAATTCTTAGAATGAAAAGCCCACATATTCCCATAAAAAAAATAAAGTACAGTGGAGCGGGCAGCATTGTCAACTTATTTCTAACCCAGACCCGGGTTCAAGTTTGGGTAAAGTCATTTATTTGTTCTACTGTTCTTACAAATTCATATAATTTTCTAACAGATTCATATCATTTGATCAAATATCATAGTATAATTGATCAAATATCATAGTATAATTTAAAATTATAGTGATTTGATTATCTAGAATAACATATTATGGCTTTATAATCCTAATATATGACCCCCGGTAAACTCAAGTTCTAGCTTCGCCTCTACTGAAACCCGTATCTCAATTCAGATAAGTTACAAAAACCCATATCCCAATTCTTTTATGTTACAACCTTGACACTACAAAACCTCTATTTCTATAATTATCAAGTAACTTTATAATCCCAAACCTAGGACACTCTCAACTGGCTCAAGATAGGGTGCATAACCCATGGTTATGCACCCATCAATAACCAAATCTGGACCCTTCATTTAAAAAATCCAGATCTAAGGATGGAGAATTAAAGACTATTTTTATTTTCACTAGCTTTCTTAATTGACTCATATCTTTTTCGTTTTAACTCGGATTTTAATTTTTTTTGCACAGATGGAACGAGTTCACCGTGCTCTACAAAATGAGATCAATTTTCAATATTTTTTGAGGAAAAAAAATTCTGGCCTCTCGGTACCAACTGCATACCATATGGTATTTTCTTCATTTTTAATTCGTTTTTGAAAACGTTTGCACAGCAGGGACGAGTTCATCATGATCTACTGGATCTACAAATTTCTGGGTGAACAAAATACAGGACCAAAAAATACCACACAATACCATACAATACCACCCTGGTACGGGGTGGTATTGTATGGTATCTTGTTCGTTTTTAATTCGTTTTTGAAAACGTTTGCACTGAAGGGACGAGTTCATCATGATCTATTGGATCTACAAATTTCTGGGTGAACAAATTACAGGACCAAAAAATACCACACAATACCATACAATACCACCCTGGTACGGGGTGGTATTGTGTGGTATACAATGTTAAAAGTCGTAAATTACAATTAATATACTTCTACTATCATGTATTCAACCATCCTACAGTATTGGTTTGTTCATACCACCATGGTACGTTTTTCAAAACATAGGTATGATTTTATTTCAATACCAGTCAATACCATATGGTATAGGCTGGTAAAAAATGGCTCAATTTTTTTTGTTCGAAAAATATATTAAAGTGGATATCATTTTGAAGAGCACAATTAATCTGATCTAACTGTGCAAAAAAAATTAAATTTCGGCTTAAAATGAGCGAGAAATCGTCCGTCAAAGATTAAAGAGTGAAAAATTAAAGGCTTTCTATGAGAGAGAGGATGCTGATGTCATGCTGATGTGGACGGGTTACTCATAGTTACTCACCATAAGGTTACTGACCTGATCCATTCCCCTCTCAACTACAAAGATACAAAGATACCAAAAAAAAAAATACTCATATAAATAGCCGAATGCAATCCTTCCTTATTTGAGCCAATATTTTATTTTCTTTTCGTAGCATGCATCCAGTACCATTTCCATGTGCCCTAATGTCTTTCTTCAGCTCCTTTTGGTTTCTCCCTTATCCGCAATGTACTTTTGGAATTTTTTGCTTTTGATTTTTTAAATATGTGTTGAATTAAGTGCTTCTACGAACTGACTATTGTAAGTCTTTTTTCTTTTTTTATAATAGTGAAAATGCATTGAAAGAAAGAAATGAACAGTACAAACAAAAACAAGCCTTCTTCACCAAAAGTGAAGGAAAGGCAACAAGTCCTGACAAAAAAGATAAGAAAAAGAACAAGAACAAACACAATAGACAGGGACAGAACCAAGTCACTTAGCCAAACAAACTGCAAAATCGCAGGGCCGCAGACACACCTAGCAGCGCCGCTCAAACCAAGCATGAAAGGGAAACACAATACCCGCTAAACGAAAACAACTTGCAAGGAAAAGAGACTAGGAGGGAGCTACTAGCACTAATAAGTTTCGGATTCTTTAAGGTCGCTAATAATTCTCTAGCTACATCAATGACATACTTGCATGGAATGGAATTAAGTAGTCAACACAGGCCGGCCACTATACCAATGGTGAATGTTCATGCAACTTCAATGATGATAGCACTAAGACTCTATCAATCAGATCCTTCCGATCCTTTTGTCGAGTTTCACGTACCGTTGGATCGGAGCTAGTTCCATTTTATTAAGTTATTATTTATTGAGGAACGAATGCCACATGCGGTACTAGTGGCTGCGAGTCGAGACCAGATATCAGAGATGGTTTTCCGTCCCACCTGCAGCCACCAACCCAGATATGACAGATCGATATTATCCCATATGATAGATCCACGACCTGCTGTTTCTAATTTTAGTATTCACATCGTGATAGATAAAGTAGTTTTTAGTTTAGCCATAGCACTGTCGGTTTTCAAAATGATGATTGTAGTTTCGAATTTTAAAACTGCATCTCATAGTGAAACTTTATAGTAAATTTTTTTTCACTCTGCTAGGGTATTCACATCGAATGCTTTCAAAAGATGAAGTAACTAGTTTAGTTTAGCAATAGCATTGTCGGTTATCAAAATGATGATGCTTTTTTTCCGAATGATGTGTGTTCGATCGTAATTTTAACTACCACTACAAGGAAAACTAATGATAACCACGGTTACCTACTGACACTCGCCCATGACCGTCGGTATCTATAAATTGTTGACGGGCAAAGTGGACGGAATATTTGACCGTCGGTATCTAATTGATGTTGAGCTGCAGCAAAGCTATATAATTAACACAGGCCACAATTTATTTCATTTCCCGTTTTTCTTTTACTTAAAAAGTTAAATACAAAAGATAAAAATAAAGCATTTTTTCCATTGATTTAATATTAGTCTCAAAGAGATCGTGAGACAGAGCCCAGAGGGCGAAAGAGAGAGGAGAGAGAAAGAGGGCGAGTGGGGGTGTGGCCAGGGGAGATCCAACCACACAATCGAGAGAGAGAGAGAGAGAGAGAGAGTTCTGGAGGTGAGATGTTCGATTGAGTTAGTACTCTCAATTGGGGGTTTTTCTCATACCCTAAGTTTTCTATTCTCAACCGAGTCTCCTCTGTTGCTTCATCCCTTAACCGATTCATACGCGTTTGTTTGGGTGCTTGACTAATGCATGTGAGTCTATTTGGTGATTGTTTTGGTAGTTGAGAAGTTAATTGATCCTAAAACTCAAAATACAACATTACTCTGCAAATCGTGTGATTGAAATTCTGGAATCGGCCCTGTTTTTGACTTCTTACACACCCTGTCATTCAAGCAGTACAACCTTTAGGCCATCAGGGAAGAAATTAGAAGAGAAGAGTATGTCTCAATGATGCTTTTGAATCAAAAGTTTTGATGATTCATTTTATCATCAATGATGTCAGTTGAATTCTTGCTCCAAATAGTTGTCCTGGATATGCATGAACGAAATTATCATTCTTAATTTGGTGGTAATCATTGCTACTTTTAAATTCAGCTGTGTATAACTAATTAGCATGTCTTTCTCCTCGTTCTAGCTAGCGCTCTAATAGCTGTGTCTTTTTCTTGGCAGGGACTACAAGCATGTCAATGATAAACACTAGATTACCCAATTGGAAAGGTAGGTAATGAGGCAAAAATGACAGAACAATGTCTGGTAGCTAAAAGAAATGTGTCAATTTTGACAACATTTACTAACATTTTGGTGAATCTGAATCTTTCCTAAGGTTCTGTTGAGAGTAAAAATCATCATGCAGTGTTTTGTTAGCTTCCTGTTAAGGCTGTAAATGAAATTTATTTCAAAGGAAACTCGTGTTTGTAATTTGCAACTGCTAGTCAAGTATTGGGTTTCCTAACTCACATCTATTTTCCAAGTTTTCACCTTATTTTCTGTACCAATGAATGATTGGTAATAAAATTTCCTAGTTCCCCTAATCGTTTCATTCCCATGATGCTCTTGTTCTTTTGCAGGTGAAATAGGAGAGAGTTCTTGAGCTTCTGACAACAATATAAATGTTCAGTGTAGTGTTAAGGTGTGCTCCTGCTATTGAATTCCTTCCTTCCTTCCTTCAAAACAGCAGTTTATTGAGCCTCTATGTCTTCTATGTTCTGGTAAGCCTATTGAGAAGGAAACTGAATATTTGTGGGCTTTATCATGGATGGTAGATCAAAATACGGTGGTGAGGTTTCTTAAAGCTATTTTGCACTACAAATTATTACTTTACTCTATTGTTCATATTTCATGGCTTTGTGCTAGCTACTACTTTTCTGTTTGAATGCTAATAAGCTGTTACAGTAGTAGGTTTTGTGATGAATCCTATATGCTTCCTCTCTGCTTCGTCTACTCATGTTGCTTGCTTCTACTCTCTTTTCCTACAGGTTTCTTTCTCCTTCAATTTCATAATTTTATTTTTATTTTGGTTGGCCGCAGTTTTTGAACCTTTGCAAGCAGGTCAGATGTATAACTTTCTTCTGCAGGGAAGAGAGTTGTGAAGCCGTCAAAGATGACGTCAAAGGGCCTGCCTGCCGGAATGTTAATTGCTGTCTGGGGGTGGTTGAGAAAGATGGAGTTACTTTTGCAAGTGGAAGCAGCCACTGGGGTTACTTTTTTCCGAATTATGTGTGTTCGATCGTAATTTTAACTACGTACTCTGAAAGATAGATATTATAATACAATAATAGTTACATATGACAAGATGACCAATGTTGCAGATACGATATATACCATTTTGTTTTCAATTTTTTTATATTACGCATTCGCCCTATAATCTTTATTATATATCAATGTTTATGTCAAAACGATCTTCATCGTAATTTGTAATACAATGAACACAAAAGAAAAGAAAAGGATATGGATCAGTACAAAAATCCTTACATATTTACTTTTTTTTTGTTTAAGATTTTCGGATTATGCATAGTAGAATGGTCATTTCTTGCGAGAAACATAATAAAAGAAGGCATTTAAAAAAGAAATCGATAAAATAGATAAAAAATATATATTATCATTAAACCTTATTTCCATAACATCAACATGTTATTTGATGAATGAGATTGTATTGTTAAAAGAAACATGTTTTCCGACCAGAAAACTTGGGTTGAAACGAATTGAATGCACCTTGACGAATCTTGGCGCTAGTATCAATGGGATGTCATATAAATTATTCAAGCAACTAGGCTTAGGTGCACCGAGTGCAATTAGGATGAATGTCCAACTAGCTGACCGATCAATGGTTCATCCTAGAGGCATAGTGGAAGACCTCCCGATTCAGGTTGGCAGATTCTTTTATCCTGCGGATTTTGTTGTCTTAGACATAAATGAGGACGCAGAAGTGCCCCTGATACTAAGTAGGCATTTTTGGCCACTGCCAAGGCTCTTATTAATGTACATGAGGGGACCTTAGTTTTGAGAGATGGTGAGGAGCAGATCATACTTTCCATAGCTAATGATAGGACTGCGACCTCGCATGTGTATGCTTGATATTACCAGGTGCACGAGTCTGTCGTGTATCCTTCTGCCTCTCCGGTTTTGCAGGTTTCTCCAAACGTTAGTTCGCCGCCACGCTCGTCTGCCTCGTTCCTAAAAAGGAAGATCAAGGAGGAGTGGCGGCCAACGGTTCAGGCCCCTAAAGCAACCAAGAAGAAAGTGGAGGCCATTAGGAGCCGCGACTACCCTAGTTATCCGAGTATTCCCTCGCTTGCATCCTCCCGGATGGCCAGGTCGAGTTATCATTTACTGATGGCCACAATCGCCGAGTTCATGACCACCATTTGAAGTTGCACCTCAAGAGTGATGTGGATCCGCTCTTGGGGGCACCTACCCCTAATCCGCTCTGAGAATCCACTGCTTGCGTCTAGCTAAAAGACATAAAAAAAATGCGCTTATGGGGAGGAAACCCCACCACGGTCTGGTATACCTCGGTTTGGGGTTATCTGGAAGGGGAGTTCAAAAAATGAGAAAAAGCACGAGTTTGGCCGAAAAGGGGCTAATACCTTATCGTGGGCTCAAATACCTGGCCGAGTATTTTGGCTTTGCAACCGGGCCCCCTTCTGGTCATGGGGCGGGTAAAATGACAAATACCCGGCCGTAGGCCTCAAATACCCGCCCGGGTATTTCTCCTTTATAACGCAAAACCCGACTGCCCCCTTTCTCTCTCCTCTCATTTTTTCAGATCCCTCTATCTCTGCTTTCTCTCTTCCTCCCCTGTTCTCTCGTCGGAGCGCGCCTTCTAGTCGTTCTTTTGTAGATCCCGGTGGCATACGACCTCCAAATTGAAATCCGATCGCGGATTCTGGATCTACGCTGTGGGGCACCCCTCCTCCAGAAATTTCGCTCAGTTTAGGCGATGTTTAATTTTTTCAGCCACACCCTCGCCGCCGGTGACTTTCCGGCGAGTCCTCCAGGGCCGATTTTTGGCGTGTTTTCGCATCTCTTGCCCTCTACTCGCGTCCCTCTACAGTACTACTTGTGTTTCCAGGTGTGTGTCTTGAATAATTTTTGCTATTTCTGGAAAATCTGACTGTAGATGTTAGGCCCGAGAACTAAGAATTGATTGGCATGATTGAACTAGGATATGGAGTAAACAGTCGATTCGCAATAAGGTCTCCCTCTTCAATTGAAGGTGGGCATGATTGAACACCCTTAATTGAAGGTGGCAAATTGATTACTTTAGTCGAGGAGTCAATTCATTACTCTCTACTGGATTTACTCCAGTAGAGGAGGTTTTGCACATTAGGGCCTTTGTTTGTTTACTCTGGTGGAGGTTAGTCGCCCGCCGGGTATACAGATTGAGAGGGTTTTGAGATCTTTAGTCGAGACTTCAGACTGAATAAGAACCTTCCGCAGTATAACTGTCATTGAATATGGACCTGGAGAATTATAACCCGACTTAACTACAATCTAGGGGGAACCATATATGGGTGACCTCTCTCAAACTTGAACCACAACTTTTGCTGCTTTGTGTTGGTTAGTTTGGTTAATACTTCACTACAATTAAACCGCTAAATAATAAGAATTTCACGGAGTAGTCATCACATATAGGACCCGGGTTGACAATTAAAGCTAAACCCACTATACTACGCATTAGTAGGTGGTTACACTTGGCCACTTTCTAGTGTGACAGTACAGGCGAGTCAAATTTCTGGCGCCGTTACCGGGGACGGCTAGGTTGTTGAAGAAACGTGATTTCTGTTACTTTAGCATTTCTTTTCCGCATTGATTATTTTACTTTGTCCCACTCTTGCCTTCACAGGTTTGTTGGCTTAGCTGTGTGCAGGTAGTGCATGACCCGTAGCCAATTGGGAGCATTACTACCGTTGGATCCGGAGCTAGAACGCACTTGTCGCCAGCTTAGGAAGGCATAGCGAGCAAGACTGGCTACAGAGGACGCGCTAGTCGACGGACATCTTAGCAGCGACTCCGAGCAGGAGTACGATATGGGAGACGAGCACAATAGGATGAACCTGAACCTGGGGCAGAATCCACCTCTGGGGATGCCTCTCCAGATTCCCCAGCGAATCAGGTTCTGGCTCATAACGACATTCCCCAAGCAGATGATGCTCATCATTAATCACCTCCGCAGGGAGCTACTATGGAGTACTTCTACACTCCACGGATCGCTGACATTCGCCCAGTCATCCAGTATCCACACATTCCTGCTAATAACTTCAAGATCAAGCCATGTTGGATTCAGTCGATAACATACTCCATCCAGTCTCATGGCCTTTCTCGGTTCTTGCAGCTTACCAATATGGGTTCAAGCTAAACAGGGTACAAGATGACGCGATCCGTCTTCGCCTCTTCTCCCACTCTCTGGCGGGGCATGCGAAGAGGTGGCTAGAGACTCAGCCGCCACTGTCCATCACTTCTTGGGATGATCAGGCCAACAAATTCGTGCACATGTACTTACCGGCCTCGAAGACTGCGGAGATTCAGCGGGAGATCACTCATTTCCGCCAAAAAGATTATGTGTCGCTGCGAGATGCTTGGGAACGGTATTCTGGACTGTTCTGGAAGTGTCCCACCACGTCTTCAGTGATGCATTCACTGTGGGAAACTTCTACAAAGCTTTGTCTCCAGAGAGCCAACGGCTGATTGAGTCTTTGTGTCCAGGTGGAGACATTCTCGCAAAGACTCCCCCGGAGTTGAACTAGATGATCATATTCTTCTTTGGGGACAGATTGATCTATTCTTCTTTGGGTCATGCCCAAGTTTCTTCCCCCGAGTCGCCAATTGATCTCCGATTGGCTTGTAAATTGCGTCTATGCTTCACTTTACACGTTAGGACCTGAAATGTGACAAAGGAACACATCACAACCTAGAGTAAAATAAGCCAAAGTATGATAAACACCAAGCTAAACAATCAAGCAGGAGCGGAGCTAGGATTGAGCGTTCCGGGGGGGGGGGGGGGGAGTTTTTATTTTGTAACCGTGAAAAGACGATAAAATTAAAAAAAAATATTTTAATATTATTATAATAATATTTTTAGGTGATTAGAGTCACTCAAAACAAGATATAAACTTAAATTTTCTATCGTGCTACAATATATAGAAAATGATAAACAAATCAATAATACATTTAATATTGTGTAACACATTCTATTTTCATACTTGAAAATCAATGTCTAGTATTTTATAAAGAATTTGTTTTATTCACCCAAAAGTATTCTTTAACATTTGCAACTTGAAGAGTTTAATTGATCTATGATTTTAGTAACAGATTTAAGAAAACAAATTAAAAAAAAAACAAGTTAGCTAAATATTGAAAGTCAAAAGGACTAAGTGTACCGTTATATAAAAATTAAATTTGAAATTAAAGGGCTTAAGGAATCATATTGAAATTGAAAAAATTAATTAAGAAATTATCATAAGATAAAAGTTGAATGGATATTATTGGAATATAAAACTTAAATTTGAAATTAAAGGAATCAAGAAATCATATTGAAATTAATGGAATTAAGAATCGTAAGATAAAAACTAATCAACTAATTATGGATACATACTAAAACTGATAAGAATCATAAGATAAAAATTAATCGAGTAACTAGTGATACATACTAAAACTGAAGAAAGAAAATAATGTACCCAACCATGAAGGAGTAACACATGTGCAAATTCAATGTTATTAGCGAGCATATACCGCAGGTCGTGGATCTCCAAATTTATGTTTAAACAATACCATATCTGGGTGGTTGCAGGTGGGAGTGAAAGGGCAACGACCATATCTGGTCCTGAAGCACCATCGAAACACCCGCAGGTTCCTCAATAAATTACTTGAATCAATCGCCCAATGCATGCTAGCTATCTTGTTTCCTTCCTTTTGTTCGGTTCTTTAATTTGTTATATGAACTATTATATGTTATGTATCTTACAGAGTATCAGTTGCGGGTTGCAGAGCTTGCCGTTTAATTATACTAATAATAATATATACGATCCAGCAACACATGATATGATTGTTGAAATTAAAGTTTAATTAATAAATAAATAAAACCATTATGGAAACTAGCTATGTGTGTGGTGCTAGTATGAAAAAATCAGAAGTGTATGGAAGTATGTAGAAAATGATTTAAATGTGTTAGGTGTTAGTTGTGGCATAAAGAAATCAAGAAAATTAAGAGCCACATAGGTAAGTCGGTTAGGCTAGATATTTGTGCTTTGTAATGCCTATAAATAGGCTTGGTTGGATGTGTAAGAAAGTAGAGCAAACAAAAAGAAAGAAGAACCAATAAAAAGCTCTCCTCTCAAAAAGTCAAAATCCCTCTGCTGCAT